GCTTCTCGTTAAAGGCAGGTTATAGTCTGAGAACTAAGCAAAAGCTTTCCCAGTGGGGAGGCTGGAGTTACGTTTATTATAATGAAAAACATATTGAAGGATTTTAAGTTTTTAAATGAGAAGGGATGTATAAAGTTAAAACTGAAGTGGAAGTTAGGGCTAGAGGATTGAAACAATCACTACAATGTTATTTTTATAATACCTGTGCAATATGTGACTGACAAAACATCTTTTTGACAAGTATCTCTTTAATGCCATATGTGAAAATGTCAATGTCCTCTTGTCACGGATGTTTTTTGGGGAAAGAAAAATGGTTACTCTTCATAGAAATGTTATTTATGTTAATATGTAATGGGCTTATTAATTCATTAAAAATAGGTTTTAAAATGTTTTAGTTTTAATTTGTAATATGATAAATATTGATAATTATGCCCCACCTAGACAGAGCTTTTTGGGGCACCCAGTAACATCTGACAATGTAAAAGTATCCTGAGACCAGTAAGTTTGAGGACCACATTCTTAGGCTGTGTCTTCTTGGCTTCCAGTAGGGGCTCTTTGGACAATACCTTCAATTTTGATGTTCTCTAGAACAGCATCCGAAGCCATTAATTTTCTTACCATGAACTAGAATTTCTCAATATTGGCCCTACTGACGTTTTGGGCCAGATATTGGTTGTTACAGGTACTATCCTGTGCTCAGGAACTCCCTGGCCATTAACTACTAGATGACAGAAGGATCCTCTCACCCAAGCTGTGACAACCAAAAATGTCTCCTGACACCGTGACATAAAATTGCCCCTGCATGAGAACCAGTGCCCTAAATACTGGAAATTTCTTACTGGAAATTTCACCTACTATTAATTTTTTAATTCCACTTATCACAGAAAATTCTACTTGTTGAGTGCCTACTCTGTGCCAAGGCACAATTCTAAGCACCTGACATGAATTAAATCATTTACGTCTCAGTATTCTATGAGATAAACAAATCATTACCTCCATTTTATAGATTAAGAAATTGCAAAACAGAGAGGTAGAGTGATATGCCCTGGGTCACTCAGCAAGTGGGTGGGGATGACAACTCCAGCCCAGATTGATACCTTGAGCTTTAGACTCCTATGAATAAGTAACTACCTCTGGGCATCCCAGGTGACATTCACGCAAGATGCCCCAAAAATGAACTCAAAAGTCTTCTCTTTATAAGACCAGCTATTTCTATATTTTTTAAGTCAGTTAATGGCACAACTTTTACAATGAACCTCTCGTGCCTTACCCTAATAACCTAGCTGTCATTCTAAACTCTGTTGGACTCTCTTTATTCCTGAATCCAATCATTCTTCGAGTTCTAACAATTTTACCTTCTAATTATTAATCAAATATGTCTTTTTCTCTATCTCCCACTATTCCTGCCCTCATTAGGGCCCTAATCTTTCCCCAGCACTGTTGTAACCAACTCCCATCTGGTGTCCTTGTATCTAGTACTCAAAATTGTCTTCTAGGGCCGGCAGAGTGGCGTGATGGTTAAGAACTGGCTTGGGACGCCAGAGGGCCCCGGTTCGGATCCCACATGAGGGCCAGTGACACTGCCCTCTACAGCTAAGATGCTGAACA